CGGGTTACTAGCTGCAACACTGCGAAATGGAATTGGGAGGGTGGACATTGACACCATCAAGTAATATAGTCGCACTTTCAAAGTTTTTGATATGAAAACACTATCTGTTAACAGGCAGTGCTACATACTTGGCTAATTATGTTAATAAATTTGGGATCCACTTTTTCCTTTCCCCGTTTCATCTGATTTTGCAAATCTGGATGCGCTCTTTAAAATGTGGACGTATCATTGAGCTATAGCAAAGTGAAGCAGACCAACCTACCCAATAAAAATTACAGTTTGAAGTCATATTATATTATTAACAATAATTTCGTCAGTTACTGTTCGGATATATGCAAATGATGGACTGTAGCTCAACGACACCAGGAAGTGATACCCGAGTGGACTTGAGTGGGTATTTTGCAGAACCCTGTTATTTTCGTTTTCACGAAGTACTCACCCAAGTTCACTGTGCGCTCATCACTCGGTACTTTTTCGTTATTGCACTCATCTTTATTTCACCCGTTTATTAATGTGCTTTTATTATTTTTTTGTGTAATCCCACAAGAATACGGATTAAATACACTCCTGTCAAATGTTTTGAAAGGTTTTTATCAAAAATGCATGTAATTCCGTAACAGTGTTGTAACTTTGTGAAAAAGGAAATCGTTCGCGCCAGTTTCCGATGTGCACACGCACACTTGGGTAGCATTTTTTACGAGGTAACGCTGGATCGTGGTGTCGGTGACGATTTACGCGTGAAAATGAATCCAACTGAGCTGCTGTTTGATCGATTGACCTGAATACACATTTTAAAAAAATGTAAGCGGCCAGACGTTTAGATCTTCTTCAAACGTAAAATGGATTCATTTTGTCTCTGAAAAAAAACACCTTTTGAATATTTACGTGGGATTTCCAGGATTTGTTCAAGTGTGCAACGTTGGGGAACAAGTATTGCTTAAAGCTATAGTTTATCATTTGCAGCCATCCGAAAAGTAACTGGGGTAATTATTGTTGAAACACAAACTTGGTTGAAAGATATGAAGGGAACTAAACTCCCTGTGAAATTATTCTTTCTGGCAAGCTGTCATTTTGAAGTAATCAACGAAAGAAGGCCTTTCCAACGGTGCGTCTTAAGACGCACCGTAGGAAAATTTATATTAGTAGTTCGTTTTGTTATTAGGCGAAGCGCGCGCAAGCATTGGCACGACGCACACGCGCGCGCGGTTGCTGTAATTCGTCGGATCAGTGCGCGACGTCGCGTATAGCTGCAATTCAAAACAATTCAAAACATGATTCAGTAACTTTTGATTTGAAATTGAGATCTTAGAATGCTGCCTTTCTCGGAATGTACAGCTGAAGCTGAGCTGAAACTTCATCAGGTTAGTTGTTCAGTATCCTTCATTAGATTTTGAACGCTCTTTTGCTGCTTCAAACGAACAAAATGCACAAATTACAAATGATGGACTATATCTTTAATGGCCTCGATCCGCAATTTCAATTTCGAACTTTATGACACTGAAATTGTTTCCAAACGTTCAACAGCAAGTTACAAGGTACAGTAGCAGTACATGCATAGTTAACTGAATGTTTGAAGTTTGTCAACAAAGTATTCACTGCATGAGTCTAGTACGTTTTGGAACCGTATATATACGTTTTGGGATCATATTAAATACAGCAGGTAGCCGCACGTGTTACTCTTAGAGTCTTATAGCCAAATCACTTGGAACTCTTATTTTGACTGCACCAGACCTAATCTAATAACCGTTTCGAACGGTCTTTCATCCGTCTGACGTGCGGTGATGAACGTATACAGCCTGCAGAAACTTCAGCGGTGTGTCCAGTTGGGGGGGGGGGGGCACGCCCTCCTTAAAAAAAATCGTGTCCCCATGCAGTCCCCCCTACTCTTCAAAATATTTTAGTCATATTAGTGACAGCCATGGTTAACGGTTCTCTACAGACGGCCCTGGCCCACTCCCCCCCCCCCCTCCCCGTGCATGCCACCCACCCCCACTCGCCCCTATGGTGAAAACCCTGACACGTACGCTGCTGAACTTGTGCTTGATATTAATTAAGCGGTTTTTTTTTTCAGGGGACAGGATAGAGAACAAACAATTTGGTAAGAGGCTTCTGGCTCTATGATTAATCCTCCTAGTCCTATCAATACCCTCGATGCTCTAAACTTCCTCCATGATGATTGGCTTTTGGATAACACACTGTGAAATCTGCACCCGCAAAGATGAAAGACAGAGATAAGGGGGATGCATGTACGTACACAGTGGGGATGGCCTAGTTCCATGGGCTAGCCCATGGGTGTCGCAAGTTTTTTTTCGGGGGGGGGGGGGCAAAGTACCTTTCCCCAATCCTTGTTCTTTCTCTGGGCGGGGACATTTACCCACCCCACCCCCATTGACACCCGGCCTGCAGACGCCCATATTGTTAAAATGTGTTAAATTGTGACTTCATACCTCTTTTTTTTAATCTTGTTTTTCTTTCTTTTTTATTTCTTTATTTTAATTTTTTTTCCGGGGGTTGGGGTGTTGGAAGCGCCCCCCCCCCCCCTTTGCTCCATCTTGTCGACGCCCATGGGCTAGTCTAACAAACTAAAACCTGGAACTTTAAGCGTAAGCTGTGATTTGGAGAAGCCTCGCGAGGGCGCCCTCTTGTTCTGTGATGGGATCACAGCAGCCTCGACTCCAGGGGCGCGTGCACGTTCCTACACTAGTCTGATTCCCGGACGGACCAAAAGATTCCGACTATTCCTGATGAATCTAAAATTTAAGACGTGGGCGTCGGGAATAATATTGTCAGGTCTGGGAACCAGACTAGTTCCTACACTAACGATCGCGCAAGGCATGATGGGAAACAACAGCACGCGCCCCTGGAGTCGAGGCTGTATCCACGGGGCACGAGGATGGGATCATAGGCATCGCACACTAGGGGAATCCCGCTGCATATGCAGCGCTGAGGTCATCTCATTGGAAATGGGTCAACTCGTACCCGAGTTAACTCGTACCCGAGTCAACTCGTACCCCAAAATTGACACCCAAGTCAAGTCGTACCCGAGTTAGGTCGTACCCGAGTCAAGTCGTACCCCGATCAACTCGTACCCGAGTTAGGTCGTACCCGAGTCAAGTCGTACCCCGATCAACTCGTACCCGAGTCAAGTCGTACCCGAGTCGACTCGTACCCGAGTCAACTCGTACCCGCACTCGCTGGTCAACGTGGTCGTACCGTGCACTGAGTGACATCGTTTTTGCCGGGCCCGTGCGCGCACTCGCCGGTCCACGTGGTCGTCCGTGCAGGGTGACATCGTTTTTGTCGGGCCTGTGCGCGCACTCATCGGTCAACGTGGTCGTACCGTGCACGGTGATATCGTTTTCGCCGAGCCTGTGCGCACACTCGCCGGTCAAAGTGGTTGTGCGTGCACGGTGTTTTTGCCGTCGCGTAGTTAGTGTCGGAACCTTCGCCGTTTTTCAACGGCATTAGGCCTTGGTGTAAGTTGTAGTTGTACATATTTAATACGGGGCTAATTTTCATACTTCAAATAAATGTTCTACCCAAAGTATGCATGCTTTTATCAATTTATTTTATTTTTATATTACAGATGATCCTGTGGTTTTCCGATGAACCATTTTCTGCTGCTCGAACCGATCGATCGGATGGTCTAGATCTAGCTGTCACACAGTTCATGATGAATCGAATCGGATGTCAAGTTTCGAGGACGAAACCCGATTAGCTCAGTTTTGTTTAAGATAATAAAACTTTCTCTTGCACTTGAATTACAATTTGCTAATGTCAAACAATCTTTCACACCCAAGGATCAACTAACAAATTGGTCCCCTAAAACTTATAGAAAGAGCATCTCTGAATGAAACGAGCCACCATTTTCCTTTATCGTGTTTACTTCCTTGATGCCTCAAATGTAAACAAATAATTAAAAATCCTACATTTCTGTTGTTACCAAAATAATATTCTAGTTGAACTTATCGCAGAAACTTTATTTAAGCTGCACAAGATTTTTTTAACGACATTTACCGAACTAATTGTACAAAAAATGACCAACATATTAAAGAATCATTATAAATTAAATAACGATGTCCGTGTGACTCTTTTAAGTTTCCTGTAATATATTTTCTCTTCAGATTTGTACTTTCAGGGCCCCCAATCTTCCCAAAGAGATTTGTGCCATGTGCAGTTATTATTCAATAAATGATGCCAAAAATGGAGTGAGTGAACGTTGAAAAATATTACTTTTACATTACAAAATTCATTTTTTAATAGCAGCTTTCTTTAAAAGAAAAAAGGTCTAAAATACTAAATTCGTAAAAAGAAAACTATGCCCTTAAAACACCTTAGAACAAAAAAAAGATGTAGCAGTTCGCACAGTCACTCCGCAATCTCAGTGATCCAGGGTCTCTGAAAAAAAGAAAGGAAAAACATCATTACTAAGAGAAAATACTACACAAATTTTAAAATAACACATCTGACGATCTGGATGAAAAGTGAAATTTACCGTTTATCAGCGAGGGCTCCGTCGACTCGCGAGTACCACACTGATGCCGTTTTGAAAATGTTCTCCGCGCAGTACCCGTCCGTTCGCGATGAAGCCCTTGCTGATGAACGGTACATTTTCCCTTTTCATCCAGATTGTGAGCAACATTTGATACCACCGCCTTCAACTAATCCTTGAACTTTATTTGTATTTCTGGCGGCGTAACTACTATTTCTCAGTCGCCGTTTTTGAGGGTAAAATCGGAAGTTTTGTTAACCATCCATCCGTACTTCCAAACTAAAAAAGGAGGGGAGTACGAGTTGACCTAGGTGCGAGTTGACCCGGGTACGAGTCGACTCGGGTACGAGTTAACCTGGGTACGAGTTAACTCGGGTACGAGTTAACTTGGATACGAGTTGACTCGGGTACGAGTTGACTCGAGTACGAGTTGACTCGGATACGAGTTAACTCGGGTACGAGTTGACCCAAAATCATCTCATTGCGACATCAGTCACTTTCATGATGACTGTGTCTTTACAATATTGCCAGAATGTTCGTTGTTACACTTTACCCAACAAATTGTAACAAGTTGTATCCTTATTTTCCGGTCCACCCACCAGCGAAATTCGCCAAAAAAGAAAACGGTAACCGTACCGTACGCAGACGAGTACGAATTTTTTAAGGTAAGACTAAGAACTAAGATAAAAATCGGAACAAACCGCCATGACCGCGTACGTGCACCACGTCTGTTCCTATTTCAGCCATTTCCTCAAACAACTTACGCTTGTTTTTCCATTTTGCAAAAAGTCTTGGAAAGCATTCCGGGAAAAATGTTGGTAATCCTTATAGGACACCTCTATTTTTTTTGACTTTTGAAGGCTAAAGCAGCCTTTTTTCTTCAGATAAACTCATGTTAAACGTCATTTTGAACATGTTGAAAACACTTTTAAAGAAAATGTGACTTTCCTACCTTTTTTTGCAGTTTTCCATCTTTGTTTTTGAATCTGTTTTCTGTTTGCCATCGTTGTCTTTTACCCCTTAATTTCCCTCATAAATCAACTGCCCTCTTCCATGTCTTCGCACAAAATTAAACCTCTTAATATCTTAATATTCAACGTGTCATTACCAACTGTTCAGATGTATCAAAAATACCAGAATATCTTTTTTGAGTGTCATTCAGTCAGTTGTTTTGGTGAGTCTTTTAACCTTAGGAATGGGGTCCTAACGCCTAAAAGTAAGGATTACCAAAATGTTGCAACCTGATGCCATTTTTTCTTCATATACCGATGTCATCTCAATGAAGGTCATTCATTGCAAAAATGATGATAATACATGAATCTGGGACTGAGAAACATTTCCAATTTTGTTAGGAAATAGGCCCTACTTAGAACATTTTCTTGACTCTCCATAGACTTTGTACACAATTGCGGAAGTGGGGTCAGGTTGCAACATTTTTTCCTACGTACAGGCCGGCCAGGATGTTTTGCAGCCGAGGTGCGCTATGCAGCCGAACGACATCAACTGTAGATGGCTATCGATGAGACTAAACAAATCCAGTCTGGGGATTCGGGCAGGCCAACCCGGAAAATTCCGAGCATACCTCACACGCGTGTACTACCGGAGCGTTGGCTGCGCATAATGTTTTACCTCTAATGTAGTGTGTCCTGGGTCCTTGCTCTAGTGTGTGGTTTGTATTGTGGGCTTTTCCAGTGGGTTTATTGAAAAAAAGGAGTCAACCTATTGGGAAGCTAGTGGAAATTTATGGATTTAAACCATTTGTAAAATTAATTCCCAATCAAAGAGAAAATAAGCCTAAGTTTTGAAACATCAGCTTAGAGCGTATTTCTCAATCTCATCACGTCGATGTTTCAGCAATTTGCAAAGCAGTTGAAATATCTACCAGTATTGGGTATATCTGCTCGTATTGGGTCCGAGTTGGTTGTACGCTAGGGTCCTGCACACCAAAGGTTTAATTACAAATTACTCGCTCAATTATAAATTCAACACCCACAACAATTTTGTGAGCTTGCCGTGGTCGCTGTGTTCGCAGCAAAAATGCTTGCCGGTCCCCAGCCGCATCAACGTCCAGCGTTCATCCACATATCGTCCACACTTGGCGGTGCAGTCTGGCTCAGCGCGAGACCGGCCGGTGTCATATGAAAATCAGACTCCTATGAAAATCGGACTCCTTTTCCCTACTATTGGTGAATCCCTTGCATGTGACAGGTCACTCTCCCACGTATGATTCTAAGAATGGCATATTATCGTTCTTACGTATGGGCAAGTCCGTATTTCATGGAGTCGGATATTCATGCTACACCGGCTCCGCACGCAAAACGTGTTGAAAGTTATACAATGACTATATACACTGAATTTACATTTCAAGGCACCAGTCTGCACTGCGAGGGTTTAGCGTCTATATGCACATGCTCTGTTATTCATGCTAATACCGTGCGTGAGGTATGCTCGGAATTTTCCGGGTTGGCCTGCCCGAATCACCAAGTCTGAAGTTGGTTCGTCCCATCGATAGCGCCCTCTACCATTGATGTCGTTCGGCTGTGGCGGCCTGTAAACGAGCATTATCCAAATCCAGACTTGGACAAAGACCATTAAGATAGAGGCACTAATATTGGGGAAAAAAATGTTACAACCTGTCGCCACTTCTGCGATTGTGTACAAAGTCTATGGAGAGTCAAGAACATTTTTTGGTATTTCTAATAAAATTGGAAATGTTTCTCAGTGCCAGATTCATGTATTATCATCATTTTTGCAATGAATGACCTTTATTGAGCTGAGATGACATATGAAGAAAAAAAGTGGCATCAGGTTGCAACATTCTTTCCCTGAGGTTTGCTTATGATCTGGATGCAAAGTAAAATTTACTGTTGGTGAGGGCTCCGTTGCGATTACCATGCGGACGCCATTTTGAAAATGGCGTCCAGGTGGTAATGGGGCCAAGTTACTCAGGCTAATTAAACATTGTTGTATCAATTTGCGTATCCAACCTCATATTTGTTGGATAATTATGAATGTGAGTTTTGGCGCACTTTGAGAGGGCTCACTGCACACTTCGAATTAACGTCTAAAACCAATGTGGAAATAACCTCTCACTTGCACCTGAGTAGGTCAGTGTATGACAAGTTGAAATGGTAGGCCTAAAGGCCTATCAAAAGTTATTTACAATGTCTATCAAACTTAATTTTCTCAAGCAAGATTGCAATTATGAAAAATCAAATGTGCACTTTGCCCGCCTGGTGCTGTCAACATACTCCATGCATGCACATTATTAGCCTGGAAAAACCCAGCTCAAAGGCTCATGACAGGAAATTCTAAATCGTGATTTTCCCATGTCATGAGCCTGAGAGCTGGGTTTTCCAAGCTGGCACTTTACCAAGAATGTTTTACTGACTGTTTGTCAACTAACTATAAATCTTTTCACTTCATTTCAAAACGTGCAAGAAATAACATCGTTCTTGAAATGGTGCTCAGATTGACACTCTACTTTAATCCTACTAATTTGGTATTGAAATTCCTGGCTTTGAAAATTCCAAATTATGAGATAAATTTTTACCTTTTTATTGTCTAAAAAAAGAGTTCACAAATAAGGGTGAGATTGTGTTTTGAAACCTCTTGCTGAACATGCTGAAGGAGATCAGGAAGAAACCCCTAGATTCTGTCAGAATTTTGACAGTTTTATGGCATAAATTAACAAAAGTTATTCAGGTTTGTATTATTCATTTTACACAATTTCTGTGTATGGGGTCATCAAAGTAATCTCTTTCCTACACATGGAGCACTTACATCATTTCCTGGTTTCCTGTCATAGTGTAATTCCACATGATGGCGGTGCTAAATGGTGCATACAACATGCATGCCATGGAATGGCACGCTACAACATGTACGTCGCAGGCATCCGCCATTCCCTTCAAAGCTCTTGAACGTATGTCATGATTTGCTTGTAAAAGTCACTCAGGCATGGAATTGTATTCTTGGAATGTTCCTTTGTTGCTACGAGAAACAAAATATTGTGGGACAGGCATCTTGTGCAGCTTGAATCGTTCTGAACTTGCAAAAGTGGCATGAATGCAGTGCTGGTTTTTTTTTTAACAAATTGGATTTGTGGTCACATGATGCCAACTTTCTGCAAACTATTATCTTCTGCGCTGCAGATATATCTAGCTACAAATATCATTAGTTTAAAAGTGTTGACACAAGCTACCTAATGGAGGTGAAATAACCTGTATGCAAAAGACGCTTACATTGTTGGGTTGCGGCATGGTGTCGTTGCAACAGGGGACATTCAGTTATGGTGTATTTATCTTTTCATATGTGGTTTTTGAAAGTTCACTAAAAGGGGCTTAGACTAAGTACATGTAGGCCTACAGTGAAAGTTAATACATGTACAAAGAATATAATTAGTCAAACTTTGCTCCGTAGTAAATGTACATGTGATGTATCAGTAAAAGACTAAAAGTGCATACTGCCCTCTGTTGTTTTTATAAATTGACATAAACTTCTAAGGTTATCCCGAATGACTGGATCTTGTGTCTTGATCTCTGAAGTCCTTGGCTTGACTTCTAGTTGTGGTTGCTCGATAGCAGATAACTTTACAATACATTTGCAAACCAATATGTGCACTTATTATTGTGTCCAAAACATGGAGTCCTCACCAGTGGTCACAGAGTGTCGTCTACACTGTTCATGCACTTGCACGTTGTCAATAGTTGAGAAGGGTCCTGCTTTGACATTGCCATTATCCATGTATTCCTTTTCCTGTTACATCTGATTTTCTAATTCTTGACGCACTCCTTGATGCAGTCTTCCTCCAAGAGTGATTAGGAATAACAAAATACCTACCCAACAAATAAGAAATTGTTTGAATTCACTCTAACTGATACTGAACAGCATATATTACCAAGTTCAGAGGTAACACTAACAGTGACGGGAAAAAATATCACACTTTGGAGCTCCAATTTGTAGAATGACCCACATATGTAATAAACATTTTTTGTCGATACATTTCTGTAGTATATGAATACATCTAGTTTGCACTCAAGGGTCCTTATGACTTGTACAACTTCATTGTGTGGTTTTTGCAGATGTATACATGTATTTTTGTTTTCTTTTGGTACATAATTTTGAATTCTGCTCCTCTTTTATTTGATAGCAGGTAAAAGAATGTCAGCAGTTGACATTTCAACTCAGGTTTGGAAGAAGCAACGAATCATGTATCCCTTAGAAGTTGTGGAACAACCCAGATCTTTGGGAACCCCATTTGTCAAAGACACTGATTTGCCGTCTTCTAGTTCATACATTGTGGGAGAAAAAAGTACCACAGAGAAAACAACACATCCAAGCTTGTTGGTAAGTGAAAATATCATCTGGGCAATTCCACGGTTACTCACGTTACATTTTTGATGTACTTTTGAGTTTCCTTGGGCTGTAATTACCTTACTGAAAAGGTTTAATAACTGTTATCCCCATGGTAGATAGAGTAGACCTAGACCTACATAAGCGTCAAAGATGACATCCAGAAAAATATGTTATGTATGATAAACAAGACGCACAAAATCGGTTACTCACGTTACATTTTCGTAACGTGAGTAACCAATTTTGTACTAGTTAGCCAGACAGGTTGAAGCCATCACCCTCGGGCAGCACACTTATATTTCTGGCCTTGCTTGCTGCGAGTGGGTCGCTGACAGATATTTCCGGCCTCGCTCCCTGCGTGTTTGTCTGTCATCCGTTCCAAACACCGCAAAACTTTTGCGTGTATACACGGCCTCCAGCGCGAACTGGTTAATAACGAGGCAAAATCATTGAAGCAAAAATAACAATAATAACGTACAAGACTTTAGATTAGTTTTGTTGTTGAAAACTAGTCATGGGCAAGGAAGATAGAAATTGACTGTTTAAATTGATTCCTAATTTGTCTTTCTCGTTTTTTCCCTTCTAGCTGATGAACTACCAAGGACCGGTAAATTTAGTCTGGTATCTGGTTGCAGATGATGTCATATACCCACATCCATATGTTTTAGAGGGAGTGGATTGTCAAGATGGGGTCTGTACCAAGACCATTTTGGCCAAAGGACAGATCATAAGGTATGGATTTCATCATTTTTACATAGCTTACACATGACCTTTACGTCTTTGATTCACCTAAAGGTTATCAAGCATGTCAAGGGTTTAAATATTTGTTATTAATTTGCTGTTGAATTCTCACAAGTTATAAGTCTGTCAAGGTCATTATCCTGTCAAGAAAATCAAGTCACAAGCTGTTCAAATTGCATTCCTTTGTCACAGTTCATTCCCCAAAGTTACGTTAGAAGAATTTGGAATCGTATTAAACAGTACTTTTCAATATTGCTTGCCCATGAATAGTTTTCAACAACACAAAACTAATCTGAAGTCTTGTAAGACATTAGTCATTATTATTGGAGTGCCATGGCCTCATGGTCTGAAGCATTGGATTCGTGGTCTGCGGGTAATTCTGCAGGTTGTGGGTTCCAGTCCAGCCTGCGTCTATGGTGCATGTGCCCTTGGGCAAGGCACTTTGTCACTCATTGCTTCTCCTCACCCAGGAGGTACTGTGAGGGCAGAGATGGTTATTGTGATTGATTTTAGCTGCTTTGCGCCCGAAATGGCATCATCGGTCTGTATACTCCCCAGGGAGCTGAGATGGTATTTGGAATGTTTCATTGGCCTAATGAGCAGGGTGATAATATTTAGTGATGTAGCGCCTTGAGCACCAATACTGGTGGATATGTGCGCTTTATACGCATTATCATTAATTGTGATAACAGTATTAATTGACTTGTGATTGACTTGTATTAGTTCTGTTCTTTAGTGTTTGACAGCAGATCAGAACATCCTTGTACATGTTGAAACATGGACTGATAATTTGTTGTTGCTATTTCATTGGTTCAGTTGAAAAATCTATACAAAAAGGACTTTTTTTAATGGAAATGTAATTGTTCTAAGAAGGTTAACAGAATTATTTTTGGGAATTATAAGAAAAGAATATTTTGTGAAAACATTCAGTTCAATATTCTGGTTAAAAAAATGGTCCATAAGGGATCAAGCATGTTGCCTTTGCTTTTTCTTTCAACTAGTTTCCCAGGGTTGTATGTGCGGAGTGTCAGCAAGGAAGATATTCCGAAGACGTTAGAGAGACGCTTAGACATCCTGAAGGAACACTTGCCAGGTATGATCATGTTAGACAAAAGGAAGACCTTAAAACTGGGCTCTATTGAGTCTTAAACATGTTGTTAACAACCTGCCAAACACATGTTTATTCCCTTATTGATGAAACAGTCCAGTCTGTTATTTATATTGTATATGTATATGGCATTTTATGTCTGAATTAGTTTAGGGACTTTTCATAAGATGGAAGTTTAGGGACGTTCAGAGTGATATGATTGGTGACACAAAGTGGGGCACTGTGGTCCAATGATGACGGTGTTCGACTCGTGTGCCGTGGTACATGGGTTCGAATCTTGACCATGGGAACATGGTGCTTGTGCTCTTGAGCAAGGCACTTTACCATTATTGCTTCATCCTTTGGATGGGACGTAAAGCCGTAGGTCCCGTGTGTTGTGTAATGCACGTTAAAGATCCCGGTATACACTTGTTGGTAAGAGAAGGGGTTTGCCCCGGTGTTTCTGGCAGTGGCAGCAATTATGCGCCGCAGCACCTTGCAAAAAGGTGCTACATAATGGGTCTCATATGTTCATATACTTCATTTACCTGTCTTTGGTTGCATTCTCCCCCAGCGCTTTGTATCCTTTGGAAAAGGCGCTATATAAATACGATTATTATTATTATTATTATTATTAAAGTGAGTTAGTATACAAATAATGAATGTTTATGAGTGCAATGATGAAAATATATTTATGAGTTGAAAAATGGAATGTTCCATTCAACGAGGCCAAGCCGAGTAGAATGGAACATTCCATTTTTCAATGAATCAAAATATTCTCTCCGTGGCAAGAATGCAAAACATTCATTATTTGTTTAATATAACATCCAAGTACATCACTGTCATTCGATTGGAGGATAAAACTATAAGAACAAACAACATTTACAAACTTGTATTAGGCCCAAAAAAAAAATATATTCGGTCTCTGGTCAGACCAAAGTTCCGGAATTGACGCAGGGACGCGGTGGGTTTTTTTTCTTCAAGCTTGGATTGTACAGACAAGGTGGGGTACTATTTTGCTTTTTTGGTGTCCTCATGTACATTGGTGTCCTCCATAATTTGCCTTGGTGCTCTCGATCATTTGCCTTGGTGCAATTTCCCATTCCTTGGTGCTCTTTGGTAAAAAAAATTGAGGAGGTGTGGCAATAGAGGGTGCTGTTGGAGCTACCGCGGAACATTTTGAAGAAAAAAAAGATTGACGCGCATGATTGAAATCGACGCGCACCCTGACCAGAGACCGACTTATTATTTTTTTTTTTGGCCTTCTATCCACTATTTTTTTTCTCAGTTTGTTCAAGGCTAACAAGGTTTAAAAGTCAAACCATTAACAATTTGAAAGATAATATTGTAATTTCTTTAAAGAATGCAAAAGAAAATCAGCAAGTTCAGCTCGTAAAGCATCAAAGGCAAGATTTGTACTGCTCAATAAAATGCATGATGTGGTTGTATAGCCCAACTGTGCATCTTTGCGCAGTGCTATATGTGACCCGCTCTGCAAAAATGAGTCTGATGTCGCATAACTTGAATTCAAGCTTTTGCCACTTTTAAATGGAAACAGTAAACATTTGCTTAAAATTTGGACGTTTTGTTTTTGTTTTATTTTGGTTGTTTGATAGTTTTAGTTCAAATATCTTACGCAGAAATTTAAATATTGTAAGAAAAAGACTAACAAAATTGTGATTGTTGGTGCTTTTCTTGGTTAGTTACAGTGTATTTGTAATTTTTCAAACCTCTTTTTCTCCATTGAGACCTTTCTAGCTTTGCAAAACCTTGACAGAATTAAACAAGCACAACAATGCAACCAAATGTCCTAGAGAGGTCCGTAATATACCAAATGAAAGCTTATTTCATTCCCATTTTATTAATGTAGTGAACTCAAAATGTCAGTTTTGCCACAACAGACTCATTTTTGCAGAGCGGGTCACATATGATCTAATGTGCAATAGATCAAAAGGGATGGAACGAAAATGCACAGTGCATGGAACCAAAAGTGCACGGATATGACATACCCCATGCAATGGTGCGATTAATGAATGCCGTGTGACATACAATTCTATAGATCAAATGACAAGGATTTTCTTTGGTGATATATAATATCCAATAAATGTCATTTTATGCATTTTTATTTTCCATACAGGGACAGGGTTCAAGCTGAAAGACCCAACTGAATATAATCTCAGTTCTGTAAGAATCTGCTTCCATGTGAAGTTCCCAGATGCAAATAGATGCCAGGAAATGCTTTCACTTGTAACGAAATCATTGCACAGTAAAGGTGAGCTATTATGTTGGGTGGAGCTCGTGCTGTGTGGAGCACTGTGCTCCAATGGTTGCATGGTTGTATGTGCATGATTCAAACCTTGATGGGAACATGGTGTTTGTGTTCCTAGGCATGATATGTTACTCCAATTACATGTACCTCCTTCCACCTGTGTGCTAATTGGTACCAGTGTAGGTAGAGAACCTATAGCAGGCGCGGTTCTACGGGGGGGCTGGGGGGGGGGCTTTAGCCCCTCCAAAATTTTGTCTAGCCCCCCCAAAAAAAATCCATAAAAAAAAAGCACCAGCAAAATGTAAGAATTTGACGTACATGGGAACGGTCTCTCCCAAAATGAGAAGGGTGCATTTGTACACTTTTAGTTAATATAGTGTGCCCGATTGTAGGATTTTATCCGCGCTCCCCATTCGCTCGTACCCCCCGCCCTGCAAACAGGGCGCTGGGAAGGGCAGATGAGCTTCACAGAATCTTGCGAATTCCTTCGTGAATTCCAAACGGAGCCTGAGCAACTGGCGGGACTTGAAAATTTACAAAACAGATAAGTTTTACAGATTTTCCTACATTATTATGCTTTTCAACCAAAAAAAGGGCGCTGCATTTATGTTTGAGAATAAAAGAGTGACGAATGACTCAGTCTTAACGGCCGTTTTAAACCTTGCAGGGTCGTGGCCGTGATGCCTTGCCGGTCACAGGTCACGCAAAATCTATCCAATCAGAGCGTTGATTCGTCAGCCCTTCCCAGTGTCCTGTTTGCAGGGAGGGGGGTACGAGCGAACGCTCCCCATAGAAAATATGACACGAGCACAGGCTTCGAGTGGGGGCCACCCCAAACCCCCTTTAGTTACGCCACTGCCTCACAACGCGGGACACCCCCAATCTAACCACGAACGCGACCTGCAAGTATTAACGGAAATCCCACAAATTAAGTTCATGCTATATAAAGCTACACAATTAATTGTTGACGAGTTATGTATCGGTCAGCGCAGGTGACCTCGGCTCTATTTTGATGAAACAGTCCTTAGCTTCAATAAGTGTTGATTTAATACACCCCTTTTTTGCTGTCGAGGCAGTTTGGCAACTTTGTGTTTTGGGCGTTGCCCAACCCCAGTGCATTACATCAGCTACTCGGGTAAACACCGATTACTTCATATTTTCAGATTTGTAATTTATAACAATGACATGGTGCAGCACTGCCGTCATGAAAGATTTCCCAGTCACGCACTTTGATTCAAAGCTAACTCTGCAAGGAAATTCGTTTCAATTTATATATTTCTTTCAACCGGTCTTTATTTGAATTCTCTGTTCCTTGTTATTGTTGGATCTGTTATTCTAGAAAAACATTGTAGGAAACCAATCCAGCGATTCCTTTGTTCCTTTGAACTACATGCCAAATTCCTCACAAATTACAGCATTTGTGTTTATGTCAATTTTGTTGTACACTCTCAACCATTAGATCATGTCCATAAATAGCCCCATCCCTGTATAGTTTCACCCTGTATTGTTTCGCAAGTAGCACAAGTATACGACACAATTGTTTCGATGTCCCGGGGTAGTCCTGTTACCAAGGTAACCGCGAAGATCGTAGACTGGCACATAATAGCACCCTGATAAGGTATCTATGACGGGCAAAGATCAGCCCTCACGCGTGCCACAAGTTTTCGGGGGTGTGCTAAATATGGCCCGTGTATGGCACGTTCCTCGCACGTGAAACTCAATTGTTGACATCAATACAATAGTTCTTTACAATAGTTTTCATGGCCAGATTTGGTTCACTTATTATGAGGTCGTTCTCTATACAAGTTTGGGGGGCTGTAGCCCCCCCAAAATTTTGTCTAGCCCCCCAAAAATAAATTCCGTAAAAAAAAAAAAAAAATGCATTAGCAAAAAGAAGGATTGTGATGTACATGCGAACGGTCTCCCCCAAAGAAGAAATAGCCGTGACAAGGGTGCATTAATTGATATAGTGTGAATGATTTTAGGATTTTATTGGCGCTCCCCATTGAAAATATGGCATGGGCCCCCCCCCCCCTTTTTTTGATTTTCGGAGGCCTAAGTGTCTTGAAAAAAATAACCGGTCAACATTTCAGCACGCCTCCCTGAAAAAATTCTGGATCCACCGTGCTAGCCCCCCAAAAATATTGGTTCTAGAACCGCGCCTGACCTATAGCTCTGATTTCATATTTTACTGAAAAGTTTTGTCAGGGCCTGATGACCAGAGGTAATAATTATGGGACTATTTCAGAAATTCAGAGATTTACATGTAAGCATTATAAAATGTGTGTATGCTAACTAGAAAATTCAGTGCTTCAAGCCTTGTAAATACTTCATCTTCAAAAGAGATACAATTTGGCAGTGCAAAATAAAAAGAATAATAAGCTGCTTCAAACTTCTTACCAGCAGAGTCTATGGTTTTGCTGAACAGCAGAAAAGTTGCGCTATTGTGCTAACTAAGCACAATATTGTGCTAACTAAGCACTGTTTCATGGTGTGGATACACTAGCTGTCCCGCACAGATGGCCATCCCTATTGTTGTGTCACTGAATTAAGCAACTTTTTCCTAAGGTTAGCGCGCCTTATGCTGTGCTTACTGCTTACAGTTCAAATGAAATAGACAGAGGCTCTGTTAGCTCAGCTGCACCGTGAAATTGCGCCAACTTGTAAAGGTTAGAGGCGTATCATTTCAATCCAGGCGTCTAAAGCACAACGCACATCATGTCAACGCACGTCATGTCACCTAGGAGAAAGATTCTGCACTCTTACATCTCAAATACTCTCCTGTTCTTTTCAGAGCCACCTTTACAAAGAGAACCCCGCATTCTGTCCGTCAGTCAGTGCAAAGGATCCGTACTGGGACGAGAAGAACTCACGCTGCGGGTCACCAACCTCAAAACTGGTACTGTGCATTTTGTGGGTTGTCGGGGAATTTCACTCTATGTATTTGCAGTTTCCATTGGTCTGCCTCTTCCATGATAAGACTGTGCACATATGGCACAAAGTGGTTATGTTTTACATCTGTTATATCATTGAGTCAGGAGTGTGTAAATTTTGAGTGTGAAAATGTACTTTTTGAATAAGATCTGAACAAATGCTACAGTTTTTAAGGGAACTATTGCAAAAAAAATTGTCCTTAGGATATGCATGAGGTTTTTCCAGACTTTTGTCTGAAATCAGACTTTTTGAATCTGAGAGAAAGCCATTATTAGTATAGAATCTTTCAGACAATTTAGCTATTTTTAGACTTTTTTAATTGACAATCTCATCCCTTTAAGGAGAAGCGTACCTTACACTGAAAAAACTACCATATATGTTATCTTTTCATCTAAAAAAATATAGGAACTGGACTCTGAACCTATGCTACGATTGAAACAGCTGTGTTTATTATTTCCTTTCAGATGATGTCTTTGTGTTTTTCCATTGTGAGAGCACAGCACCCAGATCCAGCTGGCAGGCATTTGCTGAAGTCATCAGTATTTCCCGCCAGAAAGCAACGGTAGGTTGTCTGCTGTTCTCATTGATTCAAATCTTCAAGTTGTTGTATTACCGTCTGTGGTGTACAATGTAACAGAACGAACAAAAGGAATAAAACAAGAACTTGAAGATAACCCGGCCGGTGGTGCAAACTCAATGAATTTATTCACCTTATTTAAATATAACCCCTTATGCAGTGTTGTGGGGAATTCCAAGGCATAAGGATATAAACTCAAGCAGTGGCAGAAGTTTGAATATCAGTGGATAGCTACTACATTTCCCCTTTACTTTGACTACAACTCTGGTGTTGTTTGAGAGAGCCAACACTAAAGAAATATGAACCTTTACTGTTCTCTAGTGCTCGTACCAAAACGCACATATTTTCTTTTTCTTTTTTATTATTTTTATTTCTGGTAACTAAATCAAGGACTCCACAAAAACACTCTAGGCACTGAAAGTCGCAAGCCTGAACAAACCTGTAGAGAGAAGACAATGAAGGAATTAGTCATTTAGAGGTGGGAGGAAAACCTAAGCAGAATATTCAGGGGGAAACTCACAGAATCAGGTAGAGACTGAAAACCTTATCCAGATGTGGACCAGGGCAGGAATCGAACGGGGGCCACAGAGGTGGAAGGTGAGAAAAGTACCCACTCTTGACGGCCTACATTTAACTACTTGTGTCTCCCCCATACAGCCTGTGGACATTGTAGTCAAGACGCCCCCATACCCCGACCAGCAAATCAGCGAACCACAAACAGTAGCCATCCAGATACGATTGCTGGATTACTCTCTCAGCAACACAATGAAGTATACATACATCCCTGAACCGAAAGGTAAATATAAAATCTTGGGTCAGAAATGCAAAAAGTCTTAAATGGCTGCCATAAAATGCTTGATGGGTTCAAAAAGTGTACAGTGAGTATGATGTAAATAGTTTACACAAGATCTCTGTCATCGTTACCCTTGCTTATCGAGACTTTTTCACATTCTTAAGACCAATTCAGCAGTCTGTGGAGTATAGACCATGTTCAATTTGTTTACAAATTGGATGTTGTGGTCACATGATGCCAACTTTCATCAAAGTGTCTGTGATATAAACTGTTGAAACTTGGGCAAATTAACATGCAAAAGATGCAACATTTGCAAAGATCAAAAAATGAAATGATCAAATTATCACAAAATATCTTACTGGATTGTTAGGAAATGACAGTCTAAAGCATCCTGTAAAATCGTGGCTCCCGGTGTGCTGACATTTTCAAGAAAAAAATTAATTTTTCCCAAAGCTGGTTAGCCAACCAGCATTGGAGTAAACTGGCCTTTTTTCAAAAAGTACACCTAATTTTTTATATCTAGATATTCCGCATTTTCTTTGTAATTGATTACACGTACACCTGTGAAGGGATGCAAGCCTTCTAGACTGATTCTCTGACCTTACAGTTCCCTAAAGTCTATTAATTGCTCCCTTTCATCTTAAGTGGGATCAGGGAACTAGACAACGAGAACATGTTTTTTTTCCCAGCATTTACAAGCACAAGTCAGTTTAACAATATTTGCTATAACATACTTACCCTCCAAATCCTTTTACTTCTGAAAATTGCAGCAAAAGCAAATGTTTTATATTCCTTTAAATGATTGAGTCGGGTGCTTGTTAGTATGACATAGCAGATTACATTGTCTATGTTGCTTGATATGACCTTGTTTGGTACATGTACCATGCAGGCCAAATTTCATATAGTGCTGCTAATCTCATAATTTTCTACTCTCTGAGTCTCCGTCTATTTCGTGGAAACCATAAGCCGTATAAGCACTGCAAAAGACATGCTAAGCCCATCATGACCCCTATAGTTTATGCCTAGAATCCATGAGCCTAGCCCATAGAGCTTTAGTAAATTACTCGAGCGCTAATTCCACATTAACAGCACGGAGATACTTTGAATCCATCCTCGCGCAGACATTTTGAATTCATGTGCATGTTTGTAGAATATAATGAAATTAGATGGAATGAATTTTAAAAGTGTACTCCAAATGCAATGCATGAGGACAAAATACACAAACAATTTAAGTGCGTCATGATGGTTAAGAAAGTCACAGCAAAAATATGTTGTTTGCGCTGTTTGTGTCAGAGCAAAATGAACCGTTATTTACTGATTATACATTTCAGTTTTGGGCATATCGGCTTTGACAACGAACATGTATAGAATACAAACGCAGATGCAAATAGCCGTACAAAAGCCGTACCAAATTTTGAGTTGTCCATAGGTTTGTGCACAAACGTGGATGCACTCAACAGGCATCACTTTGTACATTGAGTCAGTGTTCTAGTAATTGAATACAGGTCTCAAGAATGCGATTTAGTCTCAAAGCCGATACGCCCTGCACAAACGTGGATGTGCTCAGCAGGCATCACTTTGTACATTGAGTCAGCGCTCTAGTAATTGAATACAGGTCTCAAGAATGCGATTTAGTCTCAAAGCCGATACGCCCTGCACAAACGTGGATGCGCTCAGCAGGCATCACTTTGTACATTGAGTCAGCGCTCTAGTAATTGAATACAGCTATATGACCTAGTCGACTGTTTCCTCCCTTTTTCATGTTCCAGGGGTGACCAGGTCTGAACAAAAAGTGAAACTCAGAGAGCCCATCTATGTCCAATACTTCACTTGTCTTGGAGCCTCAGCAAATATCAATCCAGGTAAACTCAACCTGTCATCATTGTCTCATTAGCCCTCCCAGACATCAGTTTATTAACCCCCTGTACAGACTTACGTTTGAATTGAATAAATCCCCCGTATTTAAATTGAGTTTGAATTTAAAATCGGAGCTATGCCAATGCCCATGTGTTTGCTTTAAATGCAAGCATTCAAAACTTGTATCAACATGTACAGTTGTACACAGAAAAAACAAAACAGTTGTTTGATAGAAATGCATATTTACATATGTAGAAATAAAAGTACAATGGTCCAGTCTTTAACCGCTTGCAGTGCCATTTGTAGAGGGCATGGCCACTGTGAAAAGAAGCCATTCGTTTATGACATCATCCGTCTGCAGCCACATACTGACTTGGTAAAGATTAGGTTAGTGCTTTTTTATTTTTACATTATAACTAGCGATTGCAAATTTGTTCTAAATTTCAGTTTTGAAAATGACCCATGAAGAAAAAGGAGCCGGGAGTTCCCGAGCCAATGGTCTTGATCGGATGTATGTCTACAAACACAAAGACTCACGGGCAGTAAGGAAGGCCAAACCAAACAAGGTGAACGCTGGCTCCCAGACTGAGGAACGATATCTGAGGCCTGGTGGTTTGGGGGAAGGATATGATTCTGAAGAAGAACTTGGAGTATCTGATGATAGAGTTGATTACAATCGTCTGGAAAGATATAGATCTCTGATGATGGGGTCTGAATCCCCACCTCATGACCCGTCTACAAACGACACTGAAGCACACCCACAAAGGGGAGGTGGTTTATCTCGGATGTATTTCAGTCCTAGAGATGTTCTTCGTAGTTTACAGTCTTCGAAGTCCAACCAATCAAACAGCTCAGATTCGACGCTACATCAAGATGGCTTTCAGAGTTCATCTGTATACAGTAGTAGCAACCTCGAATCAGAAAACCTGGTCAGGGACATGTCACTGGTCAACCTTCAGTCACAGTCACCACATGGAGGAGAGGGATTCTCATCTGCTGCCAGCAAAAGAGATACTGTCAAAAGTGTGAAGGACTTGGATCAAGACTTAAAGGACGAGCCAGAAAACAGTCCATCTAACAACACAGAGACTGGTGATTCCTCTGCCGTTTCAACATCCATTTGGATATTTGGTAGACACCAGTGTGAGTTTTCGATTGAGGGTACCCTTCAAGTGATAGAAATTGTTCTACGATCACCTGAAGCCAGTGACTTGCCTGATTTAGCCGGAAGCAACTTGTACCCAGCCATTGTGGACAAGGCAGAGTTTCCAGTCAGTGTTAACAAAGCAGGATTGGTTGCTGTCAAGACAATTGATGCAAGTCTGTTCCAGGAAGAGGCCTACTCCATCTGGTGTAGATTGGAGCACAAGAACCTGATAACCATCTTTGGCATAATAAAGCAGGAAGCTAGACGTTGTCTTATTCTTGAATTCCCAGAGGAGGGATGCTTGGAGAGATATTTGTCAATGGCAGACCCAGCCTCCCTTCAACCAGAAAAGTGGTGGAAATGGATTGTACAGGCTGCTGAAGCATTACAGCACCTTCACAAGAATGATCTGGCTCACCAGGAGATTACGGTGGCAAATTGCCTGATTTCAGCTGATGGAAATCTCATGCTGAACATCCCAACAAATCTAATTGCATCGAAAAATTTCTTGGAAGAAGGAGTTGCGGTCGTGGATGAAGAATTCAAAACAGCTAAAGCAGGTGATATTCTCTCATTTTCTGTTCTGGCTCAGATTTGGCTTCAAAACTGCAATCTATCTGAAAATGTTGCAAAGACCTTTGACTCTTTTTGGAAAACTTGTACTCGAAAAGATAGACCAAGTGCACAGGAAGTTGTGAAGATACTGCAGAGTTACAATCAGTTGGGGACATCTGGAAGTTCCGCAGTACCACTCTTAAACATGGTGCCTCCAAGCCCTGACCATGATACAGACCAACAGGGTGCTAAAGATTTCGCAGGTCTTGGGAGCTACTTCACGGATCCAATTCCTTGTTCCCCAGATAGTGGCATTGTTGCGACCAGCGAGTCCAAGAAGTCTGTCTTAACTTTACCAACCGGGCCTGAACGAAATGACTTGGAAACCAGTCGTGAGTCAGCCTTCTCAGATTCTTCTCAAAAGAACGAGAACAGTTTAAATACATTGGTTTTCGAGTCTGTCACCCTAGGTCATGAGCAAACTGAAGCTGGAAACCTGACTAACTCTCAAGAAGGCAACAAGCCAAGTGGTGAAGAGTCTCCTCCAACGGAAACTCAGGAATCCGCCAACATCTCAGATGATGACAACACGGAGATATTGGAAGAGAGATCTGAGGGTGGACAAGGTGGCTCAGATAGGCATGAAGAGGGTCATGAACAGAATGGTAGAGATGAGGAAGGTTCTAAAAGTCACCTGCGTCCTCCTAAGGTAACCAAACGCATCGATCACACCGGGGGAAAGCTGGAGCTTTTCAACGGTGAAATCTCCTTGGAGATCCCTCCAGGAGCTCTTCGGGAGGGTCAAGTGGAAGACATCACACTGAGTGTGGACTGGAATGACAAGCATGTACCACCGTTGAGACTTAGTGACATGAACGTAGCACCGGTAGTCCAGTGTGGACCAACGGGTCTACAATTTAACAAGCCAGTGCAGCTCAAGTTGCCTCACTGTGCCGTGATACCAGATAACAAGCACTGTAAAATGACTGTCCATTGCAGCAAAACTAAAGAAGGTTAGTTTTTCAAAGACATTTGCCCAGTCTATTTGAAATTAAAAAGTTTCAGGAGTCACGTTTACAAAGTTTACATTTCCTGATGAGAGTACGCCACAGTACTTTATGATGATAAACCCTGGCACAGTAACATTGGTGCTTCTCTTTCCGGAATACTTAATATACACCTCATGTACACCTTGGTACTTTAATTAGGGGAATAATGGTGCAGTAGTGCAGTTTTAAACATTTGGCTTCGTGATGATGGCCGAGCCAAAGGTGATGGGGCCCTTAACCGGCCTAAACCAGACACGTTTAAAACTGTTCCACCACATTATTATTCCCATTCATAAATACTTTTGAGGTCAAAAAAATTTCTTTAAAAGTCAAAAAAATTGACAAAATTAGATTTAACACAACTTTTTACTGTTTTGAGTTTTGTTTCATTCAAACAACCAAGGAGAGACGCCACAATGGAATAGGATTTCAAAGCCAGAGGATTCAGACATGGCGGTGGAATGCCAGGATGGATGCTTCATTCTCTCAGTCTGTCATTTCACTTCTTTTGCTGTCACGTTGGAAAGTGGGGAGGAGATCTTTGCCAAAGAGATCATGTTTGTTCCCTACGGGCAGGAAATCAGTACATTGCAGGACGATCAAGAGATTCGCATCTACTTGTATAATTATCATTCCAGTAACAGGGAGGTAGGTTACACTTTCATTGGCAGTAGTATTTAAAATTGATCTGAGTACTTATTGTCTGTGTCACAATAGAGCCTTAGAGCCAAATATGATGTTCTGAACAGGGAATATTGTGGACCTGGTGATACTGGGCTTACTTTGTGAGAAGGATGAAAGGTTGTTAAAAGAATAATCCAGAAAAACAAATAGATGTGCAAGATTTAAATGTAATATACAACATTTGCTTTTGCTGTTAGCCTCATGACCCTAATGTATGTCTTTGAACAGCAAATACGACAAGAAGAACAGTACCTTGGCGGGAAGCAACTAGATGCCCCCAAAGCGTACCACGTTCTGGAGCTCCCAAGAGGCAGCATGGTTGTCAAAGTAGAATATCATGATAAGTCGTGGCTGTTGAGATCATCCCTCACAAATGTAAGTTCTGACCAGGGATGTGATTTCTCCGGTTTTTTTCGGAAATCCGGTTTTTGGGCCTAAAAAGTCCACCAACGTGAATCGTGTGAATCCGTTGAGAAAATAGGGGGGTAGAATGTGCTAATTAATTATTCATAATGAGTTTTGCTTGCCGAAATATCCGAAATTCATTTACGGACATAAACTTCGTTGATCGATATGTATGCCGTACGCACATATTGAACACCCAATGTGAGAACGAAGTTGAAGACCATGCGTTGCCCTTAGTGCGATTATGTGATTTTTCGCTCGGGGCCGAGGTTGTGGTTATGTAGGTCTAGTTCCTGTGTCGGTACTCGAGATGCACGTGTTGCGCTGGTCAGGTGTGCAGACGAGTGCAGCATGGTACACTGGTACCCTTCGCGTGCTAACAGAATCAATGCTATGATGAAGGAAAGGACCGGAACCAGTGACTACTGCAAGTACTCACAGGTTCGTTTTCCGTGCGTAATCGGCCGAAGTTGGATCGTAAAAATACCAAACAACCATTGATGGAAAAAGAGGATTTCTGCAAATTAATTCACAGAACGTGATCTTCATTTTCTGTGTATGTATTTTCCATTGAAATGACGAGATTGCAAAACTCGAACCTGTGGAGAAACATCTTAGCGTGTTTCTGCAGTCCTGCAGAATTTTCGGCCACGTGGGATGGGCCATACACAGTGCAGCAATGCACACTGACACTGTGCCGGGCCGGCCGTGTGTACGATGCGATGTACGGCCGACCAGACTGAATGTTTGCGGTGCTAGCGGCCGTGATGTACGTTAAGCATAATTGTGGAATAACCCACCTCAAATATATTTTTAATTAGGTGCGGCAAGTTTTAATCACTTTTGATTGCTAGTCTTGATAATTTTTGTGGCGCAAATGAGAATAATCCAGGCACTAAATACATGAAATGAAACGAAACATGGAATGAAACGATTCCTTGCTTTACTACAAATATAGAAATGGTGAAATAATTTTTTTCCAACAATACTACCGACGCTATTTTGAAAGGCATGTTATCGGAAGCAGAAGTGATTTAAGTTTACAATTTTGATTTTTTTTTACAAAAATATTAATAATATAATTTTTTGAAGCCGTGGTTTCGCAGGTTGTTGTATCAAAAATTCCCCCACAGGTTTGAAAAAATCCTGGGAGAACAACATGGCTCTCAACTTTGAGTACAGAAAAAACTTTATTAGAACAAGAGTACATTTTAACAAATAAAGGAAAATTCTTCATAAAATTAAAACAAATTCTGCTTCAGAATTTCAGAGGAAAGTGCCCAGTAATTGCCTCAGATTGCACCACAGAGCATCTAAAATCAAAAATTTTTCGGGGCCCTTAAGCGGGCCCCCAACCCCACGCCGTAATTTCTTCGCGCTTCGCGCTCGCCAGAGTTTGCACTTCATGCATACAATTTTCAGGTTTTTTTGTCACAGACCAATCGCATCCCTGGTTCTGACCGAAATCACTTAATCAAAGCATTACGCATAACAGATTCCTGCTGAAATTTGGTGCAGAAGTAGAACCAGAAACTGGGCTGCTATGACTCCTTTTTTCCCCTGAATGTTGACTGTGGTCAGGTTGTACTAGCGCCCAAGCCATTAGTGGACCTACGATATAAACAACAGTATTTTCACGAACATCCAGCTCATAAAGTTACCAAAGTCACTTGACAAAACTTCCTTATAAAGCGCCTACTGGCTTCTCCACATGTCAAAGATGAACTACTGGGGCTTCAATGGTACTCATCACAATCATTTTTTGGAGCTGCAAATCAATGGAATTTGGCCATGTTCAGGGTGCACCACCACACTGCCTACACGCCATGCTTCAAATCACGCGTATTATGTATTGACATGTACAACACACATACATATATATACATGTACAGAGGGGAAACAACCACGTGACATGTAGAAACCACACCTGTGCATCGGGATGCATCAACGACAGATTCATGAAATGGTACAAGACGCACTGTGGCTACAAGCTCTAGCGTGCACAAACAATCGTTGCCAATGTAGACACGAAACAGTCATTGATGCATCTAAAAATGGTATATCATTAATGCCTCATTAAAGTTGTTTCTGATTGTGATTACAAGCTATTGTCAAAAGATACTATGTTTATTCAATCATATCAAGGGAAGTGCTCGCTTTTATTTTTCTCAAGACATTCTTGTTCCGCAAACTCTGGAATCTTCAGTCCTACGATCAGTGCAAGTTTATCTGGAGCAACAAGAGTGAAGCAGTCAAGTTTATGTGTCGCATTTCTGCTCAGCAGCTCACCAATGATGAAAGAATGCTGTTAGAGATATCTAATCATGTAAAGGTACAATCAAAATCACCTTTTCCTTTGGGTAAAACCTTTGTAACACCAACCTAGCGCAGCAAACATTGGATACAAATTTTATTAATGTACATTGTACATGCTGCATTTGCTAATGGGGCAATTCATTGACAATTTAAAATTTCCTGGATGACCATGTTGGTTTTGGTCAAATTGTCGCGATTTGTGGTGCTAGCATGAAAACAATATGGTTTGCCTCTGGGTCTGCATCACGGACGCCATATGGGTGCAGGCCAGTGAATGGCCCAAAATTGCCTATGTGGGGTCGAATCATGATTTGTATGCACTCAATTTTCTTTTATATTAGGCCAAAAAAAATATATTTTCGGTCTCTGGTCAGACCAAAGTTCCGGAATTGACGCGGCGACGCGGCTTTTTTTTTTTTCGCTTTTTTTTTTGTTCTTCAAGCTTGGATTGTACAGACAAGGTGGTGTACTATTTTGCTTTTTTGGTGTCCTCATGTACATTGGTGTCCTCCATAATTTGCCTTGGTGCTCTCGATCATTTGCCGTGGTGCAAATCCCATTCCTTGGTGCTCTTTGGTAACAAAAAATGAGGTGCGGCAATAGAGGGCGCTGTTGGAACTACCGCGGAACATTTTGGGAAAAAAAAAGATTGACGGGCATGGTTAAAATCGACGCGCGCGCTGACCAGAGACCGACTTTTTTTTTTTTTTGGCCTTATAGAGCATTTTGTGGACCATGAACTTGAAGGTTTGTAAAATACTGTAGATGGTGGAAGCTGTGTACAGGACTGCGAGCTTGTCCACTGATCAGCTCACGTCATACGTCATTGATGCTACCTGTCGTGCCGTACCCGCTCAAAACAGTATTAGGCCCAGCATGCGATCATCTTTTTTGGGGGGGGGGGATTTGTCAGTATAACTATTGTATGCGGAACTATTTCCAAAGGAAAAATTACGATTTTCCACCACGATCAGGTACAGCGTTTCACTGCACTATTCGGTAACACCCCTGGTGAAGGCTCTCTCGCAACTGTTTACATAATTACTTGAATGGAATTTGCCCTAAAAGTAGGTTATGTTCGGTTGTATTCCACTGACGTGACAACATTAGTTTTTGGATTTAGGACATCAAACGGAGTAGGAACACACAAAGTTTATTTAATTCTCTAATTGGTACTACGGAACTCATTTTCTGAACTTTTTTTTTTACGGGAGTGTACCATGGCCTATTACAGATCGCTTTAAGAATCATCCTGATGTAAGCAAATCGTTGGAGGGTATATATATCCAAGCCAGCTTGAGTTTGCCCTCGCTTTATCCTGAAAATTAGAAAGGGGAATTACAATGTATTTCTAATCAATGACTATCCAATTGTCTAAATTTGGTTTCCAGATGTCACAGCAGACTCTTCTTCAAATGGACACTGCCAAAAATTCCACCCTCGTGCCTGATGACTTGCCACAACAGGCTTCAGAAAACTCTTTACTCATTGCACAACCAAGTAGCAGTCTCACAAGTGCCGATGCGGGTATCAGTTCCATGCCTCGATTAAGTATTGACAGTATCAATATTTTTAATAATTACGCTCTATCCCCATCAGGATTCACGGGTGTGGTTCTTCCACCAGGTTCACCACCTCTCATACCTAATGAGTTGATGAATTCACTTTGTGAAAAATTGGATCAAACTCATGTTTTGGGTTGGGATTGGACAAAACTTGCCTCAGACTTTGGGTATGATAAACACATTGCATTTCTAAAGAGTAGGCAGTCACAGTGCCCAACTTTCTCCCCAACGCTTGAAATTCTAAAACTCATATATCAGGAACAGAAGATCAAATCACTCACTGCCCTTGAAGAGTATTTTAGAACCATACAAAGAGAAGATGTTGCTGGTATAGTAGCTGATTATCGGGCAGCACATACAGATGAGGAAAACATGATAACCAGTGTAACCCCCAGTCCAGATGAGATCAATAGTCCATTGACTGCAGACCAGATGCCTTTTTCAGATCCTCCAAACAGCCCCTCTCCAGATCTCATTCAAGATATTGCCAACAGGGCTACCTCAGTCAATCAAGAGGTCCCAGAGAATCTCAATCAGTCTCTTGAATTGGTTAACAACAACCAGATGAGCACGACTCGACAAAGCACAGAGCCATGCGGGGATAGGCCTGTGTGCACAGACCAGACTGAGGCAATGCAATATCAACAACCCTCGGAATCCACAAATCAACCTTTGGTAAATTCAAATGAAAGACCTGATTCCTTTGGCACACCAGACGATGCCACACCATCAACACATATGTCTTGTCACAGAGCCATTGATCAGACAGACAAAGATATGGAGAATCTTGGGCAACGCATTCAGAAAATGTTATTTAAGGATGATCGGGCTGAAGTGTAATGCAACATTTGCGTGTACAATGTATATGTTTGCAATGTGCATTTTTTAATAATTTAGATTATTGGAACTTTGATTTGAATATGTGAACATTGCCATTGAGGTACAAATATTTGTATGAATATCGTTTATCCTTACAATTTGTTAAAGATAACTGACTAGCTAATAATTGACAGATTTTAAAGATGCAAATTAGGTCAAATATTTATCACGAGAGCTCTCAAACATGCATGCAAAGTGGATGTCCACAAAAGTGTGGCATTTGATGAACAATAAAACCACTTAACTTTAATATACAAATAAAATTACATCATGGACTTTTTTGTCATATCCCTTTTTTATATTCTATTTGGTAAACTGATGTTATTCGGATCATATCCGTTGGATGCTGGGATATTCAGATATTTGGTATATGTTGCACAGCCCTAGTACCTGTACCAAAAGAATGCATAATTTCCTTGGTATAAATGTAGCATATATTAGTAGGTACATATTTACACTCTGTTTTGCTTTGAAAATGTCATTTTAAGACCAGAATGATATGTATATTTTGTTAGTTTAGGTGGCAGGGAGAAAGTTTGAACTGAAGCTTGAGACAAATTGCCACACAAAAAAAACGCTGTTGACAAAAACATACATATTTGGGTTTGTAAACCATTCATTTGGTGGTGTTGGGATTTTGGGTGTTTTTTTTTGAGTGATAATATATAGTGATGGGTGATTAAAGCATTACTATAGGATTGTAGTTCTGTATATCAGAACTGATTGGCAGTATCAGCTTGCAAGTAAAATTTCATGTAAGCAGACTTAATTACATGTATGTGCTTATATAGGGTAGCATCAAGAAACAAAGCAATTGAATGGAAATTTGTAATTTTGCATTAGTAATTTTGCAACCTTTGTGTATTAAGAATGGTGGTATACCTATGGTATACCAATGGAGTCCATGCACGAACAGTAGGTGGTGCTTCGTGACTACTTCTAGAGCATTCTAACACAATCCCGACGGCACTTGATGCTCACAGGAGGAGACATTAGTATGAGTTTGTGCACATTCTGAACAAGAAATTGCATGTTCTTTCAAGTGCATGGTCTCCCCCAAATCTCTTCTCAAAATCTTTGTGTTCAGTGTCCATTTTTTTTAAATAATATTTTTTTATAATAATAATCAATTACATGCTCAAGCTTGAAGTTTGGGTACTTGTTAATATTGTGCTTGTATGTTTGCAGTAATCTTCAACACAGCTTGAATTTGATGTGTTAATCGGTGCACTTGACTAAATAAAACCAAAAAAAATGACTGAAACGACTACCTTTGCTTTGTAGGACAAAATACAACTTTTGCAATAAAAATGAGGTTGGCACAAGCAGAATATGCGACAAGGTCAAATGTTAAACTCAACAACTTTTGAATCATATTATCTTGTATTGTTGAATGGTTTTCATGTAGGTAGGCCCCTTATGTAGAAATTGCTACATATATGTGCAGAAAGTGTGAATACAACTTATTTCATCAGTTCATTGAATACATCACAGTTCTGTCTGAAAATATAAATTGTGTAAATGTCCTAAAACATAAATGAGTTTGACATTTTGTCATTTCAACCATCAAGTGTTATATCCACGCAGCTTGCAGTTGTTTTTTTTTTCAAGGCTAGTCAATTGAACTAAGAACTGTGATGAACAGAAACTGTTCACGATCTGTCAAATAATAAATAGTCATAATGTAATCATATACATTAAACAGTACTTGATAATAAAAGTGTTGCTTGTTCTATTTTTTGTTATGATCAGTGCTAAAGCATTTCCCTAGTGTCAGTCTGTTGAAATTCCAGATTGCCCCCTAAACTAAGCTCCGAATTGCAATTTAATTATATTATATTTTTGTGTATGTGGGTGTTTGAAACACAAATGTGGAGGCCATTGTGTGACATTAGGGTCACATTTTTAAAATAACCAAATTAAGTTCAGCTTCACATGGTTTTTAGTAGGTCAGCCAAATATGGAAAAGTACCCTGGAGAATAATTTCACTGCATTTCTGGGTAATAGCTGGCATCCATGCTAGATCATTTCTTTGAACCATAACAAACAACATGTGGGTGGATGCCACCGTTAATTTTGACCCTAAATATACCAAATTTGCATAAATCTTTAATACCTGCCATGTAGTATATTTTTGCCCTTATTTGGGTATATCTTTTATTTTTTGATTTTTTAAAAATTTTATTTTGGTGTTTCTACTTCACATCCTTACTTCAATAACATTTTCTAACGCATATAAGCGACTGAATAATTATTAGTATATAGTTACGATCCAAAATGGCTCCTATTATACCCAAAAGTTGGGCGCATTTTACTTTGTCTCCGGATATCTTCAAGAAGTCTTGCCAAACATCAGTATTAATGAGCTTCAACTTCACCAAGTTGCTTACTGGCACAGTGACCCTATTAAAACCCTACAGAAAATCATGTGAACAATGATAACATTGTGACATTTAGCCCAGCAAACAAAAACGGGAAAACGAGGTGTCTGTTAATTAGCCTAATTAGTGAAGGGTTCCCTAAGGACATTCTCTAAATGATTAGGAAGAAAATTAATGGGAAAGAAAACATTTTGACGCTGACATAATTATTACAAACATGTTTGGGGTGGTTTTTTTTTGGGGGGGGGGGGGTGGTGTTTCCTTGAACTTATTCAAGGATCCCACGTTATTATTAGGCGACCCTTCGCCTAATTTAAGCCCAGTTTACGAACAGCAAGCTCGTTTTCCCCCGTTTTTGTTTGCTGAGCTTAATACCATTATGTTATCGTGTTCACCTGATTTCCCATAAGGGTTTTAATAGGGACACTGTGCCAGTAAGCAACTTGGTGAATTTGAAGCTCATCAATACTGAGGTTTGGCAAGACTACTTGATGATATCTGGAGACAAAGTAAATGTGCGCAATTTTGGGTATAATAGTAGCCATTTGGGATCGTTGCTATGTCCTCGTGATTATTATGTCACTTACATGCTTAAGAAAATGTTATTTAAGTAAGGGAGTGTAAATAGAATCACCAAAATAAACTTTTCAAAAAAATGAAAAATAAAGAATGGGAATAAATATATTACACTGCAGGGATTATTTAGGGTCAAAGTTAAGAGTGTCATCCACCTACATTTTTCTTCTCCATCCTTTGACTGATTGATCTTACATGGTTGCACAGGCGTAGCCAGGAATTTGGAGCGGGGGGGGGGGGGCAAGTGTGACCGGCCTTCACCAACCTGAATGCGAGCGCAAAGCGCGAAGCCCTTACGGCGTGGGGTTCTAGACGCTCAGTGGTGCAATCTGAGGCATTCTTTGGCCACTTTCTTCTGACTCTGAATCAAATTTCGCGTTTACAACTTTTAAGGTTAGATTTTAAGGGGTGGTGGTGGGTCATCAAAGTTGAATTTTTTTCTTGGCATTTTTTTGTTTTTATTTCTGAGCGTAACTCGTCACCGAGCGGGAACCCCCCCCCCCCTCCCAAGCATACGGGTCTGTTAATGTTTTTTTTGTATTGATCGATTTTACTGTGTGCAACACGAGTATAAAGTTGCCTTTGTCTTCAACCATAGTAATTTAAAACCGGTTCTGACGGGCTTGGGACCAATCAGAAGATTTAAATTGTCACCGACTTCACGAAGTAACACCCAAGTCTACTCCAGTGTTACTCCGTGAAAACGCTCAATGACAAAGTGTGGTTACCGTTTCACGAAGTAACACCCCCAATGTGCGCCCGCCTTTCAGACACTGGCGCGAACGGATTTTCGTTTTCACAAAGTAACAACACTGTTACGGAAATACAATTCGGAGAAAAACGTTTTGAAACACTAAATAAAAGCCTTTAAACTGGTGAGTTACTTCGTGCAAGCAAAAATACACGAATTGAACGCACAGTCTACCCGGATGTTACTTCTTGAAAACGAAAATTACTTAGTTCTGTAAAATACGCGCCTAGCGCACTCAAGCCCACTCGGGTGTTACTTCGCGGTGTCGTTGACGAAATGTCTGCAGTGTTTATGAATTTATTGTACAAGTACTTCATGTAGTCAGTATGTCTCCGACATCACACCTTATTTACAATCGCTGCAGGTTTGATAGTCCAATACACAATTCCTTCTCAATAACGTGAATGAATATAGGTAGAATACTTGATTTTGATGTATTTTTTTGAAATCTTCAGATTTGCATGGGGGAAAGGTTGTTTGACTGACATGTTGAAAGTTTTGCGTTCAGAAACTCCGAAAAAACAGATAGGAAAACCTCGTTCGTTTTGTAACCGCCAGACATCTTGGTTTTATTGGTGTACGTTCTTTCCGCATCACGAAAACATTATTCATTCATGCACATTCCTATGTGATTTGTTTTCGTTTTTCTGAAATAACACATTAGTTGTTGTGATCCTTGGACAGAACTTTAAAACGGAGGTTGTGTTTAAAATTCTGTAACTTGAACATTACATGAGTGATTTCAACGATTCTTGTACATGTACTAAACGAAAGCTTATGAATTGGGCTTTCATATCCTAGATTTTGAAAGTGCTACATGCAGAACATCAATAAAACAATGGCCCCGACAATTGGTATCGGCTTTTTTTTAAACTCAACCTGTACAAGTACACAGGCCGTCTATAGCCGCCTTTGGGGAAATGAAGAGAACTCGCTGGTATTTTGAGGATTATCGTGTTTAAGGCCGCGGGCCAAAGCCTGTAACATGCAGTTTCGTCTTAACTTTTTAGTGGCAACTTAATTTCTCGGTTATAAGTAGTTTGGAAGATGTTAATTGATATTTTACAATGTACACAACTACACATCACATCGTTTGCACAAATTAGAAATAAAGGGGACTTAAATAACACCACTTCGAGATTTCATCACGCTCATGTTTGAAAGGATCGATTCTACTTTAAGCGCCGTGTTGAGCGTTAAATAATGACATAATATTATTCATGCCCACTTCCTATTTATCTGTTGTGTCAAATTTGAAAGCATTTGAACTTAAAACATAGAAGTTATGGCAAAAATACTATTTTTTTTTGACCCAAAATATGCAAAATAATGAGGAAAAAAAATGTCGTCATAACTTTAATGTGCAATTGGGGCCAATGTGAACAGCCAGATTCAGATTCAGCACTATCGAATCAGTAAAGTTGACCTTATTTCAAGCTGACACCAAACAGTTAAGACGAACCTGAACTTCTAGACCTGATACAGATTTTGGCCCATGGCCTAATGCATAATATTAAAATGGCAAATAGATATGGTAGATCAGAGTTTGGGAATTGGATTTGATTATTGTCATGTTGCAAACGGCCAATCTGCAGTACAACGTGGCTGAAGTGACAGGTTACAAGTCACCCAGTCAGTTGCCGTGTCACGCGTAGCTGGTAGCATTTCTCGTCCACACAAACCGACTGCAACGCGAGGCCAGCGATCGACGGCTGTAAAAAGGGCTTCTATTAAGACAATTCGCGATTTTAATGCCAAACAACAGAGCCATTCAAACAAAGTTGTTTTAAGTAGTAACAGACCTAATACATACATATTATGTAATGAAATTTCCTTTTTTTTTGTCGACATCGACAAAAGTCTCCCAAATTTTGAGGTAATCAAAGGAAAGAATGAATCTTCATCTACAAGAAATCTCGTGAACGTGATGTCGCAAATATATTAAGAATACACACCTGCATGATGTTTCCAACAACCTCCATTTTTACAACGCGAAAAGATGGTCGCCATTGTTCAACAGGCCAAAAACGGTATGACCTTGTGACCCTAATAAAAATGTATGCCCACTGATTGGTCGAGCTTCGGATGGCCTGCTTAATATTCATAGGTTCATTGCACGTTCGCGCGTGCTTTTCACAATTTTTTTCAGGTCTCCATACGTACGTACATGTACATGTACGTACGTAAGTAAGTTCACACACGTACATGTACATAATGACTGCAAATCATGAAATCTCGCAAAAAGTCTTCATTTTTCAACCAGCGATTTGGACCAAAAAAAATAAATGGCACGTGTTTTACATGTAAATGAAGCGTACACTATCCTCTACCTACTGAAACTTGTCATTTCTTTCTGCCTTTTTTAAGAATCGAATGTACACCTAAAAACACTCGGCCCTCACTTTTGTTGATAAAAAGTATGATTTTTGTTTGACGCACCATAACAACACATTGTCAAAAGCAGTTATATTTGGTATTAAAATAAAGCACACGATTTTAACCTTTTACTTGCTTCGCCATCTTGGCCGATAGTGGTACATCTGAGTAGTTTAGTTGTCGTAGCCATGCGCGTCGGCAAAATGAAAAAGTTTTTTTTCAATGAAAGATGATGTCTCAAAAACGCCAAACTAACTGGTATGACTGGAATCCTGCTGCTGCTAAATTTTAACGTGTTTTTAGATGGGGTTACGATCGAGAATAAGCTTTATGTGGCCTCTCTGGACTCCCATATATTTGCACTAAGTTTAGTCGGGCACCATTTGCATATTAATTATCAACTCATTTAAAATAAATTAATAAGCAATTAGCAGTTAATTAAACCTATAATTATTATATACTCGGAAATACTCGGGCGCTATCGGATTGTCGACGAAACGACTTCGGCAAACTTCGGAAATTTTCGGAAAAAGGAGGAATTCCTCCCGTTTTAGTCACGTGACGTAAATTGTAATACATTGGGTGCGTTCGATTTAGCTTACACGTGTATACGCGGGGTTACACCCAGGGGAAAGCCACGCAATGAGGCT